TCCAGTCTACAAAGAGGAGGGTCAACACAGAGGAATCATTTCCTCCATGCTTCCAAGCGAAGCCAACCATGGTCGAGCAGGACCTTTTATTTATCTTCAGTAGGCAGAACTGGTAAAAGGAGCCAGGGGCTTCTCCCAAGCCCATGTGACCCCTGAGGAACAGATCCTCAAATGACCTTAAGAGATAAAATAAATTGGTTTATCTGCGCCAACTGTATGGACTTAAACACCCAAAAGGAAAGTATAACCAAAGATTAAAGGGGTCAATATAATTTTTTAAGAGTCCATATATATAGCTAAAGGCTACATAACAAGTAACAGTGCCAGATATGGGATACTTTCTTTTGAGTTGTTTGCCAAGGTGGCCAAAGGGACTCCCAGATAGTAACCCAGCATAGAACTTGGAAAATGAACAGCAGACCCCAATGTTGTGTAAAGGAATATTGACAACTGATTACTGCTAGATGAGTAATAGCTGACGTTCCTAAAACAAAGACCTCTAGATAGGCTGACTAGATTCACCAGAGGGCAAGTAGTGGGGAATGGCGGGGGTGCCAACAACACAGCAGACAGTAGCAGGGATATCAGAGTATAAGGGATCTAGTGGGGGGGGGGAGGCTATGGGAGGGGGCCATGTGGGAAGTGGGTATATAGTTGAATACGATGGTTTGGGATGTTCTGTATGATACACACAATACAAAAAAAATCATCAAAATTTTTAAAAATTTATTATATTTGAGGAGGAAGCATGGAAATTTACGTCATGAATCAGTAGAGGTGATAAACATTACCATTGAAATCGACTAGTAATAAATATATACATACAGATTAGAGATCCACGTGCCAACATCTCAGTGTTAGTAGCAAAGACCGTGAGTCTTTCTGCAAGGAAAAACATATTCTAAAATGAAATGGAGATTTTTTTAAAGGTTAAAAACTCATTCAATTTTATGTCTTATAGGCCTTATACTGAGTTCAATATTGTGTGACTGTTATTAATTCAACTGTGAACCTAGAAACTTACAGCCACTTGTGAAAGAGATGTACTGTTGGTCTGGACTGGGTTACTGAGTATGTTAAAGCTTTAACGAAATGCTTCTTCTAATCGTAGTTATTAAAAAGTTTTTTTAAAAAATTTACTTGATGTTAAATAGTAGAGGTGATAAAAGATTATCAGTGAAATCTACCTGATGACTTTACATCCATAATCAGGTACTAAGGATCCAAGTGTAACTGACTGTGACTAGTTATAATCAGATACAGAGATTAAAGATACATGTGCAAACATGTTAGTAGCATTAAAAATGTAGGAAACAGCATATCTTGAAATGGAGATCTTCTTTAAAGGGTAAAAACTCATTCAATTTTATATCTTACAGGGTTTATACTGAGTTCAATATTGTTATGACTGTATTAATTGAACCGTGAACCTAAAAATTTATAGCCGCCTTTGAAAGAGATGTATCCTTGTTCTGGAATGTGTTACTGAATATGTTAAACCTGTAATGAAATGCTTCTTCTAATCATGTGGTTATTAAATTTTTAAAAAAATTTTTAAAAATGTAATAGATCAATCCTACTTTGCCATCCTATTAAATATTCTTTAAGAACTAGATAATCAATAGTTATGTGTCTTCTACTGTTAAACAACTGCTGTTTCAGTTTTGTTTTATAATAACCTATACTAAAGCGGACAACAGAACTTAGCTACTTTGCTGACAGAGGTAACACTAACTCTAGATTTGGTGGCCGACAGAACGTCAGAACTACAGGTAGGCAGGGTCTAACATGTTAGCACTTTTTCTGGTTTCTTTTATTAGGCAGGGTCTCATGTAGCCCAGGGTGGCTTTCAGCATCCTTGTACACAACAGGATCATCCCCAAATTAGGCTCCAACATCACAAACAAAGAAAATAGGAGAAGGGAAAAAAAGGAAAAAGAAAAAGAGGGAGGAGAATCAAAACCTTGTTGATTGCCTTAAGAGTTTCTAGCTTCCTCCAAATGTACAGATTTGAATCAGGTAAAGAGAAATGATAAAGTGAAGAGTCCACAGAGGCCTGGGAACTATGTTTCTTGGAGTAACACTTCACATTGCAAGACAGGAAATTCAGAGAAGGAAAAAAAACTCTAGTGTACCTACAAGTACGTACACTTAACTCAGCAAATCCATGAAGAACCTTGATTAAATGTGATCAATCTTTGTGAAACTAGATGCCAAATTAAACAATGATTTCAAAATGATTCATGAACTCTGTAAAAGCATTTGAAATCAATATTTTTATTCAGAAAAAAAAATGATAGCAACACAAAAACAAATTTCTGGTCACTTGCAGTATCTATCAGCTTTCAATTTGGCTCTCCTGTTCAAGACAATAAAGAGGGGTCAATGTAAAACATACCATATATAATCCATTGCTACTAAATATAAAACTCATACTTAGAAATTGTCATCAATTTTCATTATTATGTTCCTGAAAACTTATATTAAAACATTTAAATTTTGCCTCTCAACTTTCTTTTTATGTAAACTGGATTCTAGTCTTATGAAATTTATTTTGTAATATTTAACAAAGGTACCCTAAGGGTTTTTTCAATTCACAAGAGAAATTTTAATTACTTATGAATTTAAGCAGGCTTTAAATTTTCATGGGGTTGCAATGGGTGTGTGTGTGTGTGTGTGTGTGTGTGTGTGTGTGTGTGATATTGAGAAATAGTAAGACATTGGAGGTTTGAGATATGGGGAGGAATCTAAATACGATCAAAATATAGAGTATGATGTTCACAAAAATTTAATTAATTCTCTTTGAAAAGTGAAGTAAAAAATAACAACCCATGTCCTGTTAAAATAAGTAAGCAGTCTGTAAATTTTTATGGGGTTGCAATGGGTGTGTGTGTGTGTGTGTGTGTGTGTGTGTGTGTGTGTATTTTAACCAGTTTTAAAGCTGTTGGACAGTCTATTCTACTTTGTAGTCCAAAGTCTGATTATATTTTATATTCTCTTATGATTTCTTAGAACTACAGTAGAACTAAACACATTAAGTTTTCCTAGTAACTAATTTCAGGTAAGAACTTTGCCAATTAGCTAACAGGAAATACATGAAGTATTACTTTATAGAATAATACAATAGATTAAGAGTAATTTTGCAAAATAAAGACTTTATGACTGACAGGAGACTATCAAATTCTCTTTTACAATTTGGCACTCTATTGACTCACAGCTTTAAACTCTCAGCTAAAGTTCTCTGCCTGCTTTCGGTTGTAACTGTTGTTACATATTTAAACAGGAAAAAAAAAAGAAATGTGAGCAAATATTAATTATGTGCTATGATAAATATCCTGTACACTTCTGAATCTAACTTTAATAAAAATTCAATTTCCCTTACTGAACTTCAAACTTAAGTCTGTATACAAATTCATATGCTTTTATTTCATTTTTAGGAAACTCTACTGCCCTATCAGAACACACAGAATCTTGTTATCATGTGAACAACTTCTTAACAATGGTACTAATTCTCATGGCAAGATGACAGTAAGCACATCTATGAGAGGGGAACATGACAACCGCTAAACTACAGCAACAATCTGATGCTTAAGTAAATATGAATTAGTTCCAATCAACTCTGAAAGTCTTAAAGAACGTAAGTATTTACATTCTGGCTGTAAGTTTAGAGATTCTTTTTTAGTAAGCTTTTCTTAAGACTTATACTTTCTCTAGGTAATATTTCCACATAAACAAATTAGAAATGAAGAGAAATATTTAAAAACTATAGTAACTTAAAAAGAAGATGCCACTTTTTAAAACAGCTGTAATCACATAAATCATATAAATATACTATTACCTGTCCAGAAGTGTCTCGTGTAAAAATCCATCTTTCTGGGCCTTTTTAAGAATTTTACTATCTTCTTTACTTATTTTAAGTTTGTGGTCTTGGAAGCTCTGAAATTTCTTTCTGTGAAGAAAGATCTCTCACTGAAACAAATTCTCAAACTTTTATTACATGTATCCTTACCAAATACTGTTAAAAGTTTTTTTTCCCTTATTAAAAAAAAAGAAAAAAAAAAAAACAACTAATTGTATTTCTTTAAAAACTTAACAGCTTTTCAACTACAAAGGTAATCTTTTCTGACCCCCTGAGAAGGTTTCTGTTTGGGTAGCTCTGTAAAGCCCCTCTGTTAGGGAACAGGGCTGCAGTCCCCATGTCTGCAACATGAACAGCACCTGGTCGGCATGATAGTAGTTCTATTAAAGGAATAGGAAAACTGACCAACACAAGTGACTTCAGCTTTAAGTCCTAGTAAGGTAACTGGGAAAACTGAAGTCTCAAGAAAAGCGTTCAGCCCAACATTCTGCCCTGGAGTCTCCTACTGCCTATTCTTGTCCATCAGGTGTCTTGCTGTCAAAGTGCCATGAGAAGCACTTCACTGTCAGATCTGAGACTAAAAGGAGAACACATACACATAGTTGATTTCACACTGCTTCACATTGCCTTTGTCTTCTTCTGGGATGTCATCTTTTTTCTTGGTTTCTCTTTCAGCACAGGATCTAATCTGGGTATTAGAGATGAGAACCCAACAGGTTACATCTATCTTCTCCTCCCCACTTGCTGAACAGAGCATTCTAAGTGATTTCCTATGCAAACCATGAAATCAGTTATCTTAGAAATTAGGTTTGGAAGAAGACAAGCTCAAGATGTTTTTTTATTTCATACATATATGATTTATATAAACAATTGCAATTATATGTAAGTTGAAAACAAGCCTTCAAGTTCCAATTAACTGCAAGATTATTTTGGTAGCTTATTCAGAACTTCACCTTGATATAAGATGTCTGTGTAACTTTTTTTTTTTTTTTTTTGTCTTTTTGAGACAAAAAGCTGACCTAGAACTCACTATGTAGACCAGACTGACCTCGAACTCACAGAGATCTGCCTGCCTCTACTTCCCGAGTGCCGGGATTAAAGGTATGTGCCACCATGCCCTGCTAGATATCTGTATAACTTTTACAAAATCAAATAAAACCAAAGAATACCATTCGGGTACTCTGACTGGAAGAAGGAACTTTTATTTCCAGCTTAGTGCTTAGTGACTGACATGAAATTAAAACAGTCATTTTATGTGCTTCATGTTTTTCCTGAGGTACAGAAGATGTGTACCTACTCACAGAGAAAAGAGGCTCATATTTATTTAGTGACTAGAATCATGGATGGCAGAAATATCTGATAAAACAATTCTACTCATGAGTGTCAACAGAGTATAATTTAGCACAAGCTTTATGTATGGCAACTTGATAATACCTAATAAATTACAAGAGCTGTTTCTGCTCATATAGTTCTATGCTACAGCATTGTTTCCAAAGACAAAGCCAGGAAACAACCTAAATTTCTATCTACAACTAAAGTAAGGCAAATCCCTAAAACGGAACACTCTGCATGTGTAAAAAGAGAAGAAGGGGAAACTTTCTATATCCTTACAGGGGGAAATACTCAAGAGACAACAGTGAAAACAAAAGGCCCAGGTAATTATATCTTTATATGTTTATAAGGAATTTCAGGAGGCTATAAAAAACAGAACAGGGGCTGGAGAGATGGCTCTGTGGTTAAGAACACTGTTCTTGCAGAAGACCTGGGTTTGAATCCCAGCAACCACATGGCAGCTAACAGTAACTCCAGTTTCAGGGTATCCGACAGCCTCTCCTGTCCTCCCTGGGCATTGCATGACACGAGTGCACTTACCTACATGCAGGCAATACACACATACACATAAAATTAATTAATTAACTAATCAATTAAAAAAACAGAACAAAACAAAAAACAACAGTAAAACTAAACTATACCAAAAAAATTAAGGGGGGAGTCTAGGGACCAGGTAGGAGATGGGAGATAGGTGAATGGTGTAGATGGGAGACCTAAGGCTTTGTTTTTGCTTTAAAATTTTTATATTTTGGGGCTGGAGAGATGGCTCAGCAGTTAAGAACAATGGTTGTTCCTGCAAAAGACCTGAGTTTGGATCCCAGCACCCACACGTGTATGAGTATACTGCCTGCATGTAAGTGTATCTGTGTCATGCAATGCCCATGGAGGTCAGAAGAGGGCACTAGATTTCCCTGGAACCGGAGTTATGGATGGTTGTTAGCTGCCATGTGGACACTGGGAATTGAACCCAGGTCCTCTGCAAGAGCAGCCAGTGCTCTTAATCACTGAGACATCTCTCTAGCTCCCAAAAGGTATTGTTTTTTAAGTGATAGTAAATGACTACTCAATGTTTTAAAGAAACTGCTCACGTCACAGGTGGGACAGGCACTAGGCTCCAGGAAAATGTCTGCTTACCTTTATCATTTCTTCTTCTCCTGCTGTTTTATTCTTTGCTTCTATGTCGCCTGCTTCATTACATCTAATAAAGCAGCTATTTGAGGCCAGTAAAGCCATTTTTCCCTGAAAAAAAAAAAAAATCAAGCATGAGAACTCTCACAGAAATCTCACATCTTTAGACTAAATTAAAAATTTCTCAATTCTAAAATCAAAGAATTTAGAGAAAGCCTAGGGGGAAAAAAAAAACATACGGAAAAGGAAACCCAAATCACCTATAATCTTACTACTCAAACATTATTACATACATACTTTTATGTGTTTTTCTATTGGGATGGAGAACATGTAGCTCAGTGGCAGAGCAGTTACATTGCCTCTTGCTTTATTTGAGAAGGACTATTGTTCTAAGTATACAAAATAAATTGCTTTCTCTAAAAAATTTGAGGAGACAACTAATTTAGTTAAGTTAAAAACTATCTTTAGGGGCTAGAGATATGGCTCAGCAGTTAAGAACACTAGCTATTCTTGCAGAAGACCCGGGTTTGAATCCCAGCACCCACATGACAGCTAACAACTATCTGTAACTCCAGTTCCAGGAGATTGGACACCCTCTTCTGACCTCCATGGGCACTACATGACACGGGTACACTTACATACATGCAGGCAATACACACGTACACATAAAACTCATAAAAACCTATCTTTAAAGACAATAAAAATTATGAATAATGTGCAATAATACTAGTGTTTCAAGTGCAATTTATTTTCCTTGTAATTAAAAATATTAAGAAGCTGGCCTTTGGCCTAGAGGGAATTTTGTATGGAATGATATATTCACATTAGTTGTTTAATGCTGATGATTACACTAACTTTACTGATTATACTGATTATTAAAACCTCAAAAATGAATTTTCTTGGGGCTGGAATAGTGGCTCAGAGGTTAAGAGCACTTGCTGTTCTTCCAGAGAACCCAGGTTCGGCTCCCAACACCCACCTGGCAGCTCTGTTGTCCTCTTCCACCTCGGGCACTACCCACACACACCAGTAAACACTCGGGCAATCAAAACACTTGTAGAAATAAATCACTAAAAAATAATTTTTCTTGTGTATCTAAAGTGTGGATTTGAAATCTGACTAATTAAATTCTACTTATAATTGTAAGGGTAATTTTTTAAAGGCCTTTTAAAAAATATTATTTTTATTTTATGTGTATGAGTGTATTGCTTGCATGTATGTGTGTGCAATGCCACCGAGGTCAGAAGAGGGCTTCGGATTCCCCTGGAACTGGAGTTAAGGACAGTTTGTAGCCACCATGTGGGTGCTGGGAATCGAACCCGGGTCCTCTGCAAGAGCAGTCAGTGCTCTTAACCACTGAGCCATCTCTCCAGTCCCGTAATTTTAATTTTCATATGGTTGATTCTTATGGAAAACTTGGTATACCTTTAACATTACAAAAAATAGTCACAAGTATATTAATTACAAGACTTTATACTATTCAGTTAAAACAGCAGGAAAAACATGGATTTTATTTAATTTCTTATTAAGGTGGCAGAACTGTATTTTACCTGGATGACTCTAAGAATTAGGCCTACACAGTCCAAGAGGATGTAAACCTGTGCCATGGAGCACTCCCTTCTGCACTTTAACTTCCTATATGAGAGATTTCAAGTCTTTTGTTTAAATTTAAAAATCTCAAAGTTAAATGAAACCCATCTCCCTAAAGTTTGAATCTGACACTGGCCTTATATTAGCCTTTCCTACTGGTATGCTTTTTACTTAGCTAGTTAATTGATTATTTTTCATTTAAGTCTTATTTATTTATTTATTAATTATTTTATTAGCATTGCTTTAAAAAAATAGTATGAGCTTGGCATGGTAGTGCACACCTTTAATCTCAGCACTCTGGAGGCAGAGGCAGAGGCAGAGGCAGAGGCAGAGGCAGGCTGATCTCTGTGAGTTTAAAAGGCCAGTCTATTCTATATAGCAAGTTCCAGGCCAGCTGGGGCTACAGGGAGACCCAGTCTCAGAAAGACCCCCCCCCAAAAAAAAGGGTGTGATGGACACTGAAAAGCTTTATACAGGTTGCAGAATTTGGAATGGGAATGAATGCCAAATCCACAATACAGCAACAGCAAGAAATTTCAAACGATTGTTGAAGCTTGTTAGTATAAATTATAGTAGACATACAGAACTGTGAATTTACATTCTAAAAACATTACATGTTTTTAGTTTGTTTTTATCATTTTAGTTATTAGAGTACATTTAAGATAAATCTTTAACTTTGCAGACTGATTTTTATCTCCAGAAGTTCACTTGGGTGTTTTGCATTTTCTGTAGGGCACAGGTGAACATGCACTGGGCTGTAGAAGAGTAATGGAAAGATGACAGAAAACTTCTTGGTGCTTGGAATGGGATGCCCAGGACGACGTGTGGAGTCAAGACCACAGCTGGCCATCAAAGGAGGTGGGAGGTCTATTCTAGAGAATCAGCGCTCCCAAGACTGGAATCTGCAAATGACAAAACCTCCCCTGTCCCCAGGATAAGCCCAACACAGAGGCAAAGCTGCTGCCATGCACAACCTGGGACTTTGGGGGATGGGCTGTGGGGAATGCAGGCACCCAGAGAAGGCCGAAACTGCTGCCCAGCATCCTCCCATCTGCTCCACCACCAGAGAAATGTAGAATCATGATTCATGTTGTGGATCACAGCTCTAGCTCATAGGGGGTGACCAGAATTCCAGTTCATGGGAGACCATAGCTTCAGCTCACAGGATGGGACCACAACCCTAGCTCATGGGAGGTGATTATGTTTTAAGTTAATTATTATTGAGTGTATATGATGTATATGGGTGTGTGTGCATGTGTCATTATGTGCACATGGAGGTCAGAGGACAACTTGGGAGTCAGTTCTTTCCTTTGACCTCGGTTCCAGTAATCATACTCAGCTCAGCAGGTTTGTGCAGCAAGTGCTTCACCCACTGAGCCACCTTGCAGGGCCCAGTATTACTTTATTAACCAATACTGGAAACAAACCAAAATCTAAAACTAGACAAAGGAGAACACAAAATAGAAACTGTCTATGCATTACTACATAGAAAAAAATAAGTATTTTTAGGTACAATTTTTGCTTTACTTATACATATGTGTATACTGGTTATACCGGAGAGCTTTAGTGTCAGCTTGACACACCTGGGTTGAGGGAGCCTCAACTGGGGAACTGCCTCCATAGGACTGGCCGGTGGCCATGTCTGGGGGGCCAACTTCTTGATTGTTGAGTGATGTGAGAGGGCTCAGCCCACTGTGGGTGGTGCCACCCCTGGGCAGGTGGGCCTGTGTTCCATAAGAAAGCAGGCTGAGTATAGGCCAGGGGAGCAAGCCAGTAAGCAGCATTCCTCCATGCTCCAGCTCCTGCCTCCAGGTTCCTGCCCTGAGTTCCTACCTTGGCTCCCTGAGGAACTGTGATTGAGAGACTTAAGACAAATAAACCCTTTCCTCCCCAAACTGGTATTGGTCAGAGTGTTTTGTCACAGCTATGGAGAAACAAAGTAGAACACTGGTCTGTAACGTCAAAATGTATTTCTCATTACAGTGTGGTCAAAAGTCATTGACTCAAGATTTTATCCTGGGGGTGATGAATTAGGTCAAAGTAAGTACCTCTTTTTTTATCATCTTGGAAAACACTGATGCATCTCCCCTGCCCCTTTTTTTGGTGTGAATGTGGTTGTATGTGTGTGCAGTGTATGTGCATGTGGTATGTATATGCTTGTGTGTGGAGGCCAGAGGAGGATGGCAGGTATCCTACTCTATCACTCTCTTATGCCTTTGAAATAGGGTTTCTCAGCCGGGCGTGGCAGGGCATGCCTTTAATCCCAGCACTGGGAGGCAGAGGCAGGCAGATCTCTGTGAGTTCAAGGCCAGCCTGGTCTACATAGTGAGTTCCAAGACAGCTGGAGCTACAGGGAGACACTGTCTCAAAAAGACAAAAAAAAAAAAAAAAAAAGAAATAGGGTTTCTCACTGAACCTGGAGCTAAGCTGGTGGTCAGCAAGCCCCAGTAATTCTTCTGTTTCTGACCGCCCCCCCCCGCCGCCCCCGCCCTAGTGCTGGGGTTAAAGGTGCATGTGGGTCACAACCTGCTTTGTACGCGGATGCTGCAATGTGAAGTCAGGTTCTCATGTTTAGGCAGATGTGCAAGCGTTTTTACCAACAGCCATCTCTCTAGCCCTGAAGCATCTTTCTTTGAATTTAACTGTATAAAACCGTTGTTGCTGTACAACTACTGAACATTTTTCAGTTGTTCTATTATTCTTTAAAGTTCTTGATATTTACTAAACTTGCTGTAGCTTCGTACTTTCATATGAAAACTTTTTTACACTGCTTTTCTTTTTGAACTTCATTATAAATCAAAACTTTAACAGCTCTACGGACTGTGTTTATTTCAATGAACCATTACCACTATTTACTATTTTGTACACAACCTGTCAAAATGAGATGCTAGCTTGCTCCACTACCCTCTTCCCATAGTCTCTAAAGTTTTGGAAGCAATCTCTGTGAATAAAATACTCCTGATAGAGCCTCTTTCTTATTCTGAGGCTTAAAACAGACTAAAGTCTAAAGGGCCCTGGTCCTTTAATGGAAACAACCATGCAGAAACCAGAGTGTGACAGGCACTACTTCCTGTTGCTCTGTGTTTTTGTGTTTGGACATCATTGTTAAAAAATATTTTATTATTTTAATTTTATGTGTATGAGTTTGCATGTATAAGTGCACCAGTGTCATGCAACGCCCACGGAAGTCAGAAGAGGGCATTGGATCCCCTGGAACAGATGTTGTTCACCACCATATGGGTGCTGGGAACTGAACCTGGGTCTTCTGCATCACCAGCCAGCGCTCTTAACCTCTGAGCCATCTCTCCAGCCTCCTTGACATCATTTTTATTAAGTTTATCCTGATCCTCCTCTCCAAATATAATGCATTATACTACTACATTTTACTTTATTCTTTTACTACTTTTACTTTATTATTAGAGAATGTGCTTTCACTGACTGTTGAAGACACTTTCTTAAACTGATAGGATGCTTTTGCAAATAACAATACTTACATCTTGAAATACTGGTTCCCACTGTTCTCTTGGCCCAATTGCATCTGAACGCCCAACAACAAGTCCGTCTGAATTTATACCAAGGTATTTTCCATAACCAGACTTCAGGGCAATTCTTTGGGTTAATAAAATAAATATTAAAAACTGAGTGAAGTAATTTAAATATAGAATGAAAAACAGTATACTATATGTATTTATGTATTGTTCTACATATATTAAAATTCAGACTAGACATGTTTACAGGGGTTACAAAGCTACATGTGGCAAATTGCTACCATTCTGGACACAATAATTCAATTCCCACTCTCTCTATATATGATTTTACATTTTGCTTTTTAATATAAGCATTATATAGTATCTTATGCTATATAGAAAACATGTTCCAAATGCAGTATTTTTCTATCAGATTCAAAATTTACTTTTTTTTTTTGCTATTAAACAGTCTTACTGGTATCTCTACTATATAAAAAACTGCCAATTTGTCTTCAGAAGGGAGTCCTAGAAAAGAAGACACTGGATTGAAGGTTATTAACATACTATTACATATACAGGGTCCTGTGGCTGACTTCCCATCAGGCCACTAGGACTGGTTAGAACAGCATCAATGCCAGGACAGTGTGAAAACCAGAAAAAGTTGCAACAACTTGCATTCTCACCTCAAATTGAGAGACTTTTTTCAGGTGCTAAGAACTGAACCTACTTGTTAGGCAAATGCTCTACCCTAAGCTATGCACCTAGCCAAAAGATCATTTTTAAAAAAGTGTTATTATGTCTTTAATCCCAGTACTCAAGAGGTAGAGGCAGCCTCTGTGAATTCAAGGCCAGCTTGCTCTACATAGGGAGTGTCAGGTTAGCCAGGACTACACAGTGAGATGCAGTCTCAAACAAAGTATATCCTTTGTGATGAACAATCTTCACTGTCAAGTACACACCTCTGGATTATCTTTTAGGGTGTTTCCAGAGAGGTTTAAATGAGGAGGGAAGACTTGCCCTAAATGTAGGAGCACCATCCCATGAACTAGGGTCCAGACTAAATAAAAAGAGGAAAAGGAAGCCAGCTCAGTGCTGTCTCTCTGCTTCTTGATCCCCAGGGATGAGTCCCAGCTCTCTTGTCTTCATGAACTCTGCTACACATTCCCTACCATAAGCCAAAACAAGCTGTTCCTTCCTTATGTTTCTTCTTGTCAGGTACTTGATCACAGCATCAAGAAAAATAATATGTGCTTCAAAAACATTAAAAAATATAATATGAAAATAACTTGTTAAAAATGGTCATCTTACCTAAACTTGCAACCAAACTTAATCTGATGTTTTGAGATCATTTGACACTATCTCAGGTTGTTTACAATGTAAACAATCTCATTAGTCCTTGGGCTGCTCTTGTAAACTAAATATAAATCTTTAATTCCTCACGACCCTTTCTTGCCCCTGACCCAGAATAACATGTCTGTATTGTGAATATTGCTGGAAGCAATAAATTATCTCCAGTTTTATGTTGCAAACAGCAAGTGAGATTAGACTGATAACACCTGTTTGTGGTTGTGTATGCTGTTCTGGGTCAGTTCGGGGAGGCGTGGATCAGAAAAAGGAAAATTCTCTGATAAGACAAGGTTCCTCATTCATTCCCACTTTAAAGAAAGAGAGTACCCTCCTGGGGAAGAACAGTCTAAGAGAACTCAGAAGGAACAAGTTCTGAGAACAGATATGGCTCACTCTTGGTTTTTAAATGACACTAAGAGTCAGGCTGTCCTTGTTCAGACACCACTGTACTGTGGCTTCTCTCTGCTATACATATTTTGCATTACAGTTCTTAGGGAGATTGGCACTAGAATTTCTTTCACTTTCCTTTTTAGTTTCAAAACTATCTGGCTATATATGTATTCATTGTTCTATTGGGGCTGTCAGGATTATGAGTACTCTACATACTGTGAGTGAGCACTCACTGCATATGGAGATTGTTGCAAATATTTTCCTCATTTTCTATTGTTCGTAATTAAAAGAAGTGTCACTCTGTAGTTCTGCACTAAGAACAAAACAGGTTAGTTCTTATGATCATGTGACATTTGTTAGGGTTCCAAACAGCAGCAGCTTCCCCCCTCCCCAACAGGGACCTACAGACTTTGGAGCCCGAAAAAGGGAACTGAGCTGATAAGCACCTTGACCTTTGAAGTCAAGGGAAACAAACTCTGCTGAGAAGCAGCCTGTCTTTCCTCTGATCTCCAAAGATAAGATAAGCAGATTCTACCTGTTAACCAGAGATTTTAGAAGTTGTTTATCACAACAGCTTTTCTCTTATCTTAAGAGGGAAAAAGTAAACACTTCCAGACCCTAATCCTACATGCTTTCCCTGCTTCCCCCTCCCTGATTTCTCCCCCAAACATTCCCCCCTTCTACACCCTAAAGCCCCCATATATAAAGTCCCAGCTCACAACCCGTAGGCTGACATCTTTCCCTTCCCTGACATCTTTCCCTTCCCAGACATTTTTTCCCTTCCCTGAGGGAAACGTGTCCCGTGCGAAATAAAGCTGTATCCTGCTGAGAATTCTACTTGTGCCTCGGTGCCTCCTCCATCCGCGCACTCTCTCAACATTTTAACCTAACAACATTCTCTGTTGGCTTCACCAATATTTCAATTATCCTCCTATCTGTTGAATTTTTTCTTTTTTTGAGATAGGGTCTTACTATGTAATCCAGCTGGCCTTGAATTTACAATTCTGCCTTGGCCTTCCAAATGCTGGGATGCAGATATGTGCCACGACATCTGGTATGTCCCTTGACATACATACCACAGTATCTTTGGATTTGATTCTGTCTTATGTTTAAGACATACATGTCCCTTCACTAATATACCTCACTGGGTACATATCTATGTGTTACATGTTCCCAAATCAGAAATCCAAAACAGTTCTGAGCCCAAGCATTCAATAAGGAATACTCATTCAACCTGTATCTTCTCCTCTGAAAACAGTCATTAAATATTTATTTAATGAAGGAAGATTAAACACTGACTAGGCATATAAATAACATGCTTTTTGGACATCATAAAATCTGTTTCAAAATACTGTTTTGGATTATTCTGTGAGTTTATATTAGCTAAATAGTTAAATAGTGGAATGTCTTAAATAAGTGAAATTCACTTGTTTTATTTTTTGGGGGGAGACAGGTCCAGGCTGGCCTCAAATTTATATACCTGAGATGGCCTTGAACTCCTGATTTTCCTGTCTCCGTCTCCCAAATCCTGGCATTAAAGGCATGCACCACCATTCCTACTTAAGTGAAATCAAATGTAGAATTTTTAAAAAATTAACTATTTAATTACTTCATGTGTATGAGTGTTTTGCATCCATGTGTGTAAGTGCATCATGAAGTGCAATGCTTCCAAAGGTCAGAAAGGGCACTGGAGTCCCTGGAACTGGAGTTACTGATGGTTGTTAGCCGGCCATGTAGGTGCTGGGAACTGAATCCGGTCCTGTGCAAGAGCAATCAGTGCTCTTCACCACTGGGCCACGTATCTAGCCCCTAATTTTTCAAATACATTAAAAAAAAATTTTTTTTTTAATAAAAATTTAAATACTCAAGCTTACCTGGAATCAGACAATTTGACAGCAGTAAACTGCTCTGGAGGACTGGGACCCTCATCAACTACAGGAAAATAAAATGAAGATATACATTTGCTAGAAATATATATGCAAAGATATTTTTCTGCTTTAGAAGCAACTAGCTGAGCTGGCCCTGGCCCCTTCAGAAAACAGTAGTCCTCCAGAGGAATGCAAGGATGTGAAAAACTGAAAAAGAAAAAAAACCCAAAGCCCCAGGAGGTGCCTCAGGAAAACAGAATGAAGAGCCACCTGTTTCTTCCCCTAAATGAAAGAAAAAGAAAGCTCTCTCCAAAGAGGCGCTGGCTGTCAGCACAAGCCTTCCTAGTCCTAAAAGGAAGAAGTCCGTACCTAAGGAGGAAATGGCCCCCAAAGAGGCAGCAAACATGTGTCCCCAAGAAAAAAAGGAAGTTTTCTTGCGAGGAGGAGCAGCTAGCCGTGGGCCTCAAGCTACTGCTGGCAACAAGAGTGGCACAAAGACAAAGAGAAGATTCCAGAAAAAAAACCTCAGGAGGATTAGAATGGACATTTCTTGGGTGGAGGGGCATACCCTAAGGTTACTGTCCCAACCCATATAAACCCCAATAAAAAAATCTGCCAAAAAAAAAAAAACTAGTTTTTTTTCCTTCTAAATGCTCTTGTTTATTCAAGGGATGACCATTCTGACTGAACCACACCCCTATTTACTTTTTTACTTTCTAATTATTTGTCATTAGTACTTCCTTATAGGCTAAAGATAATGAGAAAATCTATACAGCTCTGAAGAAAAATCAGGATTCAAATTTGTGATTCAGCCAAATTTTCACTTTTAATATAATTTTATTTTTTTGATCTTTTTGAGACAAGGTCTCCCTGTAGCCCCAGCTGGCCTGAAACTTGCTATGTAGACCAGGCTGGCCTTGATCTCAGAGATCTGCCTGCCTCTGCCTCCTGAGTGCTGGGATTAAAGGTATGTGCCACCATGCCTAGCTAACATTATATTTTAATGCTTTTTTTTTTTTTTTAATTTCCACAGTGACTCTTCTGACATTTATAACATTATATAGAATGTCTTCAAATGCTTATTCTGGAAAGAGTTCTCAAAGCTATAAGTAGTAAGGAAGGGAAAAAAGTGAAGGAAGGGAAAAAAGTGAACGATCTGTATAATGGCTACATAAATAAATCACACTTGTGCATGAATGTTATAAAATTTCTACTTTATGTGGCCTTTCCCTTTCACTGTTTCCACCAGACACAAACCTTCTTTATGTGGGGCTCCCAATGTAAAAAGACCATTGTCAAGTGCATGAATATAGGTTCCTTTATCCATTTCAATGGCAATGGTTCCCGAAATTTCACCAAAGTTGGATACAGTCCACCAGATTCCTAAAAGCAAAAAACAAAAAGCTCAATGTTTAACTTTTTTATTTTAGTTGTACACAAGAATTTTCTATTGTTCTTGTTCTACCTTGTTTTTGTAAGAGCTTTTTTTATCCTTTACCAACTTTCTCCTAATAGCACTACTTTGCATAACTATTGCACAATCCCTAGAAACTGGTATTGACATGATCCATGAAGCTTATTCATATTTTACCAGTTCAACATGAACTTGCTGGTGTTTATACGGGTGGATTCATGTGACAACTGCCATGGTCAAGATCACATTCTTTTAAAACTATGAAACAGCAACACATGCAGAGACACAAAATATGAGGGAACAGTCGCTCTTATTCATGCATTCTTTCCAGTGACAATGTCTATTATAATACACTATAAACAGCAGAACTTTGTTCAGTCTAGAAATATTTACTCATTCCAATGTCTTCTTTAACTGTTGACAGTATATAGAATTAAAAACTGTCTTGATTGCTTCCCAGAAACTGCAAATTACAGCTATGCAATATCAACATGTCAAATTTGGCTATTTAGTGAAGGCTCAGAAAATAAAATATTTTTAGGCAGTTCATTGAAGGGTCTGAGAGCTGGGCAGTAAAAACTTACAACCCCTGTTTAATTTTAGAAAACAATGAACAAAGTATAGTTGTTATGGGTCTTAATTCATTCTCAGCTTTCTAACTCTGTCCCATGAACCTAGCTTCCATTAAGCTGGTGCTGAGTGAGTTGCTGCTGATCAAGCTCTCCTTTTCTCTGGCTTTTACATGCTCAAGGGAAACCTATGCAATTTTGGCTTTACAATGCAAACACACCTCTGGTGGCAACGGCCAGTACTTTGGGTTTTTTTTCTTTCACACTCAAGCAATGAAGAGAACCTCCTTCTTATCTTGGCTTTGATAGCATATGTTAAAAACTCAAGAAAGGTGCTGAGGCTTTGCTTTGGTTCCTGTTTTCACTGGCCAGTCTGCTCGTGATTAGAAGCCATGAGCTCCAGTGCTTCTGCCAACATGCTCTTGGCAGTATGCCTCTTCTCTTTCCCATGTCATACAAAGAACTTCTAGCAAAATGATGGAATCTGATTGGGACTGAAGTAACATTTGTCAACAGCAGATGAAACCTCTTTGAGAGCAAAGGGATTACCAACATGCTAAGGACTTTAGACATCATGTCTGAAACTGGTTCCTCTCAAGTGCCTTGTTGTATGAAACACATCACAAATTGGCCCAAAGTATATAAGGAGGTCTTGGGTGTTAACGAGCAGCCTTTGCATAAAACATTATTTATTTTTAATTTTGTGACCACTTCAGAAGATTTTAATGTTTTCAGTCATTGGTTTGCTTGTACTAAATAGAATTCTGTGCACTTCTTTTCTTCTGGTAGGGCATGGTGTTGTTTGTGAAAGCCTAAGAACCCCGCTTTTTAGAAAGGATTTCCACACTAGCATTTCTAGCTAGTGTATTTTCTTCCACTTACCTACTGAAGCACAGTTATATATTTCTTTACAGTAAAACCAAAAACCTTTAGTGGTGGTCTGCCTAATATTACCATAGCACCTCAGTATGAAGGGTAGGGATTCTGAGTTCTCAATTATTAAATCTACCACAATGAATCAGATTTACAAATAAGAAATAACATGTTACCTTGACTATACCTGAAATACTCCGCAGCTGGTGGAACAGCAGTTTTTAAATATAACACTGTGCTTATTGACTGAATTTTTTTTTTTTTTTGGACAGGGTCTCCCTAGTTCCAGCCTGCCTGGAAGTCACTATGTGGACCAGGCTGGCTTCGATCTCACAGAGATCTGGCCTGCCTCTACCTTCTGAGGCCTGGGATTAAAGGCGAGTGCCACCAAACCTGGCTTGATTAAAGTTTTTAACTGTTAGTCCCTTAAGATCATGTTTGTCAAGTGTGTACTGACACATTTACTTCAATCAAGGGATCGATGCTTCCTTTATTTTAACCATCTTTTCTTGTCATTTTAGAAGGAAACCAACTTCAGCAGTGGTTGCCCTATACATCTTCTCTTTTTGCTCTTAATATGCCATGATGTATGTGACTGATTTTAAAAACTCATCATGACTTGAAGTGCAAGGGCAGATCTAAATGCTTGTTTACCAAGCTATGTGACTTTTCTCAAAGAATCTGTACTTGATTTCTTTATAACAGCTTGAAAAAGATTATTTTTTAACTCTTCAAATCACTATGTGTAAGTCATTTTTACATTGTGAGCCATAGAACTTATTCATAGAGAAATAGAGTGCCTTCATTTATTGTAATAAATTTTCAGGAAAAATGGAAGGTGCCAGGGGTAGTCATGACTAGTCAATAATTATATAACAGACTTCAAATACTATAGATGTCAGTTGATGGATTTGTTATATAGTAAATATATGACTTTCTATGAATTTCTTCAACTCTTTTCTGTCAGTAGCAATCAGAAAAGCACTTGACCTTTGGGTTGGTTAGATGATAAGTGGCTGAGTACCTGTTTTTCTCATTCAGGTGTGATTGGCTAAATAATCATGCATTTAAAATCGAAATGTAAATTGAAGTCACATGAAAAAATCATGTCTGGTTGTAAACTTCCATTTTGATTCTTTATCTGTTTTCAGCATATGCTGCATAAAAGTGCCTTACAATGTAAAAATGGTACAGTACTTATGTTCCCAAGTAGCATCTTCATCCTCTAGCTAGTAATTACAATAATATTTGGATAAATGAACCTCAGCACTGTATTTACTGCACAGCTCTTAAGTCCTTAACTGTAGCTTTAATAAGATGATATTTTTGATAAGTATATGACATTACATCATTTCCAAAAATACTATTACTGTCTTTAATGGACATTTTAGCCTGACATTTTGATGTATCTTTTCTTTTGTTCCTTTTTATCATTATATGACTACTAAACACTATAATCTTTGCAGATGTATACTGATGATTATTCTGGAGCATTGCCTTACTAGCAATGCTAGTAAGAAATGTTTAGAGTAGAACAGACTTGAACTTTTCTATACTTTAATAAGAGCTCTTTCTTCCTGGGGTAGGGGATGGGGGGGTATTTTCATCTTCATCTCAATTTATTAAAAATCATCAACTGAAATAAATTTCTTTACAAGGATTGGCAGTTTTAGAACTTCAGTGGAGGGCTGGAGAGATGACTTAGTGGTTAAGTGCAGTGGCTGCTCTTGTAGAACACCCAGGTTCGATTCCCAGTACAACATGGAGTCCAACAACCATCTCTAACTCCAATTCCAGGAAATTTGACCCATGCCCTCTTCTGTCTCCCGCAGGCATTGCAGGACATGGGTGCACTTACATACACGCAAGCAATACATTAGTACACAAAAAATAAAAACAGTAAATAAAATAAATTTTTTTTTAAAAAAAGAACCCCAGAGAAGTACTTGCTCAGACGTATGTGGCACTCAAGCTGCTGACATAACAAGCTCTGTAGACCTGTCACTGACTCAGAATCTATGGACTTGAACAAATGTGGGACTCTCAAATATCTCAAAGCAAAAGGAAAAGTGTTCAAGAATGTTGTTGGCTTTTAAAAAAAGCACTGAAGTTAGAACAGGCAGTTTTATTCTAACAGACATTTAAGTAAAGATAAGGAATGTGTCATGGGTAAAAAATAAAAAAAATCAAACATTCCTTGTGTTATGTGTCTTTTGTTCTTGTTACACTGGCTTTATTTTCAAAATTGTAGTTTGTAGCGTTAGTTTCCTTTTATTGGTGTTCTTGAACATACTATTCATTCAATGAGTTACAAATTTCGAAAAAAGTGAGTACTTCATGGCTTCTTTTCAGCATTTCCAACTGTCAGCATCACCATTTTTATGCTCTGGCATCAATAAGTAGAATACAGTTTGCTGGAACGCAAATGTTGCAACAGCACAGCAGCTGGCTTTCAGACGAATAATGAATTTCCTTTTTTGAAAAAAATATTTTATTTATTGTTTTTATTTTATTGCCTGCATTTAGGTAAGTGCATCCGTGTCATGCAATGCCTGAGGAGGACAGAAGAGGCTGTCGGATCCCCTGGAACTGGAGTTATGGACAGTTGTTAGCTGCCATGTGGGTGCTGGGATTCAAACCCGGGTCTTCTTCAAGAACAGTCAGTGTTCTTAACCACTGCACTCTCTCTCTAGCCCCCCTAATAATCTCTCCAAAATTTTCAATTTTGGGAGCTGAAGAGATGGTTCAGTGGTTAAAAGCACTGGTTGCTCTCACAGAGGACCTGGGTTCAGTTCTCAGAACCGAACTGACAAGGCAGCTAACAACCATCCATAAATTCAGTTCCAGGGGATCTGACACTCTCTTCTGGCCTCTGTGAACACTGCATGACATAGATATATTTACATACATGTACGCAAAACATTTATATACATAAAAAATTTTGGATCTCTGGTAAAGAAAAGTTATTTTTCTGTTGCTGTGATAAAATATCATGACCAAGAGAAACTTACAGAAGTTTATTTTGGCTTATGGTTCCAGAGGAAGAGTCCATGATGATGACTGGGGGGGGGGGTGCAAACATGGTAGATGACTGGAGCATGAAGCCCAGTGATCACATCTCAGCTACACACAGGGAGCAGAGCATGAACTGGAAGTGGGGCAAGGCTAGAAACTTGCTATGTGGACCAGGTTGGCCTTGATCTCACTGTAATCTGCCTGGCTCTACTTCAGAAGAACTGGGATTAAAGGTGTGCACCACCAAGCCTGACATGGGACATTTTCTTGATTACTAATTGATATAGGAGGGTCCCTCCTACTGTAGGTGGTGCCATCCCCGGGCAGGTTATCAGATTTTCAAACAAAATCTGATTTTCATGTTTCTCTTCCCTGTGCCCTTTTTCCCTCTCTCAAGCAATTCCACCCAGTGACTTCCTTCCCACTTTCATGTCACGTGTCCTTTCACACGTCCACCTCCCCTCTTGTTCCTGTCATGATCTCTTATCTAGTTTCACAGTCTGTATCCACTC